CACAACTTTTAAAGTGCAATGTTTTTTAAGATCTTAAGCTTGGTTTAATAAATAACTTTGACCCCTGAGCAAACAAGTCGAATACCAACCGATTTTGTGTCAAGTGCGAAAAACTAGATTGAATCATTGTCATGCTTTCTCATTTCTGTCAAATCCAAACCGGAAAAAGTGATCATTTCTTTCTTTACGAAATAGAAACGAGTTTACTCGAGAAGAGCCGCTTTATCAACTTTTGGGCGATGAGAAACATAAGTTTGAAAAAGAACTTTCATGAAAGGTTAGAGCTTTCAGACAGAAATTGTCTTTACAATCGAAGCACAGTACTCCAAGTCGGATAGTCTCTCGAGCTTAGTGGTTCTGCTTGAGAATGGAATACCAAAGACGCTTCCACGACAATAGAGTAAGGACCAAAGCACAATGTTTGTGGATCCTCGTCGACCCATTCTGAGCAGCACCAGGGACCATTCTCACATTCATTCGCGACAAAGTAATTTCGACTGCCGGTTCTTTCATACAAGGTGTCTGAGGAAGTGACAAGGGGACATAATTCTCTCTTGTAGCATTTCCAGTCACTTGTTCTGTAAGTGGAGAAGCAAGAGTGCTTCTATAAAAACCGAGGATTCAGACACCAAGAGCCCCGACGACAGCTTTGGAGAATAACAGAACGTGAAAGCCGAAGTGGTCATCTTTGAATAAACACCGACCTTTCACACCTTTCGATTATTCTTAACACATCTCTAATGAAAAAAGGGCCGTTACAGTCTACTGAGTATGGTGAAACGCGCTCGAGTTATATGGTCTTTGTTCATAACTTCGTCATCCTTTTTTTTGTGTCAAAGCCTGTCCCATCTACACAGAATTAAGGGTCATCAAAATACCGGGACAAACTATTCGCCGGTAAGAAGAGACCAATTTCAGTTTGAAAGAATCTTTTTTTCTCTCAGATTTTGGAGAGTTTTTCATAGATTATGCAGGAGATCAGTGACTGCGCGAGTGTAGGAAAAGTGCCGAAAAAAAGAAAAATGAGAAACACAAATAAACTGCGGTTTTAAAAAAATCCTGTTTTAAGAAGGATTAAATTTCCCACAAGACAGAAGTCTGAAAATAATATATTGTAATTTATTTACACGTTTGGATTAGATAATAAGCTTCGCTGTGCTTTTCAGACATGCAAGAATAGGCTCTTTATAGCACATGGTGCTGTTTACCAAAATCACTTGCACACAAACAGTCAAATTAAATATTATTTAACTGAAGTAGATTGCCATGTCAAAAAGATTACGATGATGTTTATTGTATTATAGCTCATGCGGTAGAGCTGTCTTTTCCTTTAGCTTTATTATCAAAAGAATGAGAATGGCGGCAAAGAAATTAGACAAACATGACAAATATTCAGTCTCGCAAAAACGGTGTACTCGGCAAAAAGCACTGAAAAGCAAATATTTTAAGAATTTGTGCGAAAAGGAGACTACATTTTCCTGGCACTGGCATTCCCTGGTTTCCAGACAGGAAAATGCATTATACCCATGCGTGCACGGAGCTATACAAACACAAAATGATCCCAAGTTCTGCCAAGCATCCAAAAATATTGTTGCTTAAAACAAAAAGAAAAACTTGAATTCCTAGCAAGCTTCTCTTCAAGATGGAATCGTCAAGGACGCTCGGCAGTTTCATAAATCTGCCCTACAAAACACAATGTAGATTGCCCTAATTGTCCGGATTTTCTTGCTCGTGAGCATGTCTCCTCTCCCCCCCTCTCCCTCTCTCTCTCTCTCCCTCCTCTTACTGCTACCGATACTTCTGCTGCTGCTCCTACTCCTTCTGTTTTTCCTCCTCCTACCCTCCCTCCTCCTCTTCGTCCTCGTCCTCCTCTTCCTCTTTCTCCTCCTCCTCCTTCTCCTTCTTCTTCTTCTTCTTCTTCTTCTTCTTCTTCTTCTTCTTCTTCTTCTTCTTCTTCTTCTTCTTCTTCTTCTTCTTTTTCTTCTTTTTCGTCGTCGTCCTCGACGTCGAACTCCCTATATTTCGACAGGAACGTATACACAAAAATCACTACTCTTCACCATTACGCAACATGCAACTCCTCCTTCCCCACCCCTATCCCTGCGATCACTCCCATCTACCATCTAACGTTTGCCTTCATCTCAGCAGCGCGCGCGTTTCTGTCTCACCTTGCACTCCGCATGCCGGCTCATGCCGCTTCGACCTGGAGACAAAGTCGAGGTGCTCTGGGATGGCGGAGCGCTTGTAGACCAGGTGGGGTCGGCTGCCGATGGATGATGATTCGTGTCCCTTCACAGGCTCGATCAGGTACTCCTCTTCATCGAGTTGCAAAAATCCTCTCTGCGTAAAAAGAAAAGGAAAGAATGAGAAAAAAAAATCATGGAAGAAAAGAACATTCTTTCGTTAACTATACCACCCTACTAGACGCAAAGTACCACATTTCAAAGCCGAAGCATTCTACACCACACTCCCTACCATTAAACAGGTATAGGAGGCTGAAAACGAAAGAAAGGATAATATCCCCCATAAACATTTACAAAACTCGGAGCCTATTAAGAGTCGAACCCAAAACTTCAGCTGCTGATCAACAAACTGCTCCGTACCTGCCTTGTCAGAACACATAAGAATAAGAAAAGAAAGGCAGAAGAAACAACTACTAAGGTAAGACGACCCACAAGCCAAAGGTATCCCACCTCACCAACTCGCAAAACACATGCCAGTGAAAGAAAGGTGAAAAATCAGAAATGATGGAAATCAAAAGAGAACAAAATTCAAAGGTATGGCAATATGCGTCGGGCGTAACTAGCTGTTATTTCTCTTTCAAGCCGGGGAATTATAGGGTGAAATGTGCACAGCTATCGGTGAAGACGCACGTTAACCCAAGCTTTGACAAAAAACCAGCTCCTCATCATAGACTGGAGATTGTGGGGAAAAAAATATGCTATCCCCCCTGCTCTCC